GCACAAGATATGCTAAAGAGCATAATCTGAACGACTCAGGCCCCGCGAAATGGATTCTCACGGATACGGTCAGCACCGGGCCTGTTGCAGGTCTATCTGCTTCTGGTATGCGGTTCTCAGGCATGTAGGATGTAGTTTGAGGGATTTGGATCTGTAGAAGCTCGGCCCTATAACACTGACTCCCAAAAGGGACTACACATTTTGAGAATGCGCCGTGTGTGGGTTCAGCTTTGCTCTGGGAGGGATCACTCGGCCCCCAAATCCGACCGTAGTATACTATTGCATCCATACAGTACAGGACAGTCTTCTATAGCTTTGGAAAGTGTTCGGGGCTATTGTGCTGCGACAGTTGCGTGTCGCAGTGTCATTCTGTAATTAGTACTTTATGGGCATGTCACAAGTGCTCAAAGAGAGTGCCAAGTGAACGTCGTCAACCTTCCTCCCCCAACTCCTGAAACGATGAGAGTGGAGTGGACTACAGTGGACTACAGCGCTACGTTGGCCACACTTCACAACGGCAGGCAGTTGCTGGATATGCGCAGCAAAATGCGGTGCACCCTGACCGTTGGATTCAAGGCGACACTGAGCCAACTCGGCATATAAAAGCCATGGCAAACGCAAGAACCGTCATGGCTGATGACGTTGCCCCACCCAAAGAACTGAAATCACGGAAGCGTCCGAATCCCGACAAGCCAAAGACCAATCCTAAGCCCAGCAAGAAACCGACAATCACGTTTGAGCAACACTTCAGCGACTATACTTTGCGAGACTATGAGATATGGACACTGCTGCTGCTGCTGCTGCTGCCACTACTACTACTACTGCTGCTGCTGCTGCTACTACTACTACTACTACTACTACTACTACCACCAGGACTACTCTAACTAGAGCCAGTACCGAGTGCATCGACGGCCTTGAGCTGGTTCACACCTTCCGCATCAAGATTCGTCGGCTTCAGACTGTCCGGAGAGAAAGACCACCTGGATTCTCCAAACGGGTTTAGGGCGAACTGCTCTGCGGCTGCAGTGGCTGCAGGCACAGGAGTTCTTCCGAGCGCAGGTTTGCTTGGCAATTCGCATGACAGCACCCAACACTGTACGCATGGACTCACGCGCCAAAGCAAAGACAGACAGCACCTGGAAACGTCAGATCGGCGCACGAATTGCAGGTGTGCAGTGGTGACAGGCGCAATAGCCCGTGGCTTCATCACCGACCATGCGGCTTGAGCGACATCTTTCTGCGCGAAACATCGCCATCGCAGCAGTCTTCACGAGTTTCCATGATAATCGCTTCCCATATGGGATCTGCCAAAAGTTTCTCACGTCTCTGAGTTGCTGAAGATCTCGATATGCCTAGTTTCTGACACTGATACTTCAACACGGCTACTTCAACACAAAGCACCGAGTACGAGGCTACTGCCGAAGGGGAAAGGTACTTGTAGGGGATTAGTTAGTCACCTTTTTCGGACCATCACTGAACTCGCGATCCAGGGTTCGACCAGGTAATGCTTCTTGTGCGTGGACATACTACTGTCTTTCTTAAACCCTGAGAGCTGAAACGTTGGAATGCAACCCTGGAATCCCTATAACTTATAACGACAGCAGCAGTGACAACGCGGAGGACGACCACGGCGACCACCACCACCTCCACCACCACCACCACCACCACCACCAACGCCGCCACCACCACCACCACCACCACCACCACCACCACCACCACCACCACCACCACCACCACCACCGCCGCCATGATGAGACAACAACCGCTGATTACTGTCACAAGAAACGACTACTTCCACGACTATCTGCTGACCACTTGTTGTCGACATCTTGCTTCCGTGTCTTGCGGTCAGTGGTGCATAGGGGAGCACTGGGGATTGAGCTGGCACGCGATTCGCACAGAAATCATTGTTTTGGTTTGGTTGAAGTTGGGAGCTCGAGCGTGCTAAGGAGGCTGAGGTCCGACAACCAAACTCCTTATGCAGGATTGCAATAGGAGATGCATGGAGATACTGTAGACAAGTATCAGCAAGTCTGGGAAAGGAGACCCACTCAACACATCTGGCCTCCTCAGCATCGAAGTCCTCAAGCTCACGCCCCTGGACCTCTTCTATCTTCCCAGTAAGCCCTGCAAGCTCTGAGCCTCAACATGACAGCGCTCACTTTTCTCTGAGTCCTCATCGGTTCCCAGCCCCAACCTCTTGCTGCACAGACACTTTCCTTTCGGGAATTTCACATAGAGCTTCTGCCCGCTGTCGTCGCGGTCCTTTCGCTCTGCAGCCGCAATCACATAGGGCAACACGGCAGCGAGTGATTCATGACTACACTGAGGCTTCGAGCATAGCCGACCAGAAACGGGGCCAGCTGATCCCGACAGTCCAAGCGCTCCAGGGCGCGATCAACCAAGGTGGTGTGGTGCGCAGGAGCTTGTGTGCCAAAGGTTCGAAGTAGTCCTCCTTGTACCGGATAGCTGTCACGATGCCAATTTCACCTGTCGTCATCAAGCCGACGACACATCGACACCCGAAGGAAAGTGCAGGATCTGACGACCCGGAGACAACTAGGACCGACCGATAGATATGTGGGAATTTCAAAAACGGATGCTGCCTCCAAAACCAGTACAGCTTTCCCTCTGTAGGATCTTCATGCAGTGTTTACTCGAATAATACGCTCCACCTTGCATAGGAGCCGAGCCTTCCGGAATGTCGTCGTCCGCTTTCGTCCACTGCACCCGGTCACCCTTTTGGAAGGGCAAGGGCTGCAGCTCCCTGGCCTTGAGGCCTCGGCGTTTTGGGGACTTGAGCTTGAGAGGCTTAGGCTTTAGGGAAGTTTAGGCTTCAGGGACTGGCGGGTTTAGAGTTTAGGGACTTGAAGGACTTGAGACTCTTGTTGCGGGGATTCTTTGAGGGCTTCCGGATGCAAGGCTCCTGGAGTTTCGGGGAAATTACCGGGGGTCTGAGGCTGCGTAGCAGTGACACGGCCAGCCTTGGCAAAACTACAACTTGCACAAGGCTAAGTGCTTGTTAAAGCTCGTAAGCGATCGAAGATAGATTCGCAACCAAAAAGGCTTTCCAGAAGTCCAGGGGTTCGGAGGCTTTTTGGGAGGATGCTGGGTTTCGATCTTTTGGGCATGGCCACGCCGGCCACGCTTCCTTGCTTCAGAGCGGTGAGCTTGTGAGCGACAGGCAAAGCGCAGACGACATTGCGTGAGTCGCATGGCTTCAGCAGCTGGTATTCAGAACAAGCAATTTTGCAGTTCCATTCTCAACGCTAGAGTCATGGAGGCAGCAGCCCGGATCCTAAAGTCTTCGGATGCTCTCCCGCTTCCAGTCCGGCAGGCTCCAGTTGCCCTTTGGCCACTGCACCGAAAGGCTGTTCCTTAGGTGCAATTTTGGCACTCAGAGCGATCCTACAACCTTAAACACCACTATTGCGGGTGCCACTTCGGCACACTTTTCGTGATTTGTGGGTGGGGGTGGGAGGGAATTGTAGGTTTCGCAGTTCTTGGGATGTTCATACGAGGGCTCGTGGTGGTCTCTCACTAGTGGAGGTCTACGCTGACAAAAATTCTCTTGCTTTCGATCCAGACTGTAATTATCTTCCTTTGAGTGTTCTGCACACGAAGCTGTCCGACTTGGAAAGCAAGAGCAAATGCGCACAATGTACCCATATAAATAGCTTCGAGCCTTGACTGGGCCCTTACCTAAATGCCACTGGTGCATTTGTATCCAAGCGCAATGGTACTGTGCTGAGAAAGTAGCGGCAATCGCCTGACATGGGTGGAGTCCGCTCGCGCAGCGTCCAATTGAATTGAATTGCTGTTTTCGTCGCAGTAGTTGTGGTAGTAGTAGTCGTGGGCTAGAAGTAGCAGAAGTAGTAGACATAGAGGTAGAAGAAGATGTAGTATAGTAGTGTAGTAGTTGTAATCAGCAGCAGGACTAGCAGTAGCAGTAGCAGTAGCAGTAGTAGTAGTAGTAGTAGTAGGAGTAGTAGGAGTAGCAGCAGCAGTAGCAGTAGCAGTAGCAGTAGCAGTAGCAGTAGCAGTAGCAGTAGCAGTAGCAGTAGTAGTAGTAGTAGTAGTAGTAGTAGTAGTAGTAGTAGTAGTCGTGGTAGTACTAGTAGGAGTAGTAGTAGCAGCAGTAGCAGCAGTAGAAGTAGAAGTAGAAGTAGAAGCAGTAGTAGCAGTAGTCGCAGTAGCAGTAGCAGTAGGAGTAGGAGTAGGAGTAGTAGTAGTGGAAGTAGTACTAGTATAGGTATAGTCGTCGTAGTAGTAGTAGTAGTAGTCGTCGTCGTGGTGGTGGTGGTGGTGGTGGTCGTAGCAGCAGTCGTGGTAGTGGTGGTAGTAGTAGTAGTTGTTGTTGTCGAAATAGCAGAAGTAGCAATAGTGGTAAGTTATGGTAAGAGTAGCAGTAGTAGGTGTAGCAGGAGTAACCCTTTCTGTAGGAGTAATGGTAATGATGGTAGTGGTAGTGGTAGCAGCAGAGTGGGAAGACGAAGAGGACGACCAGCGGAAGAAGCAGAAGGGAGCAGCCGCGTTCTCAAGATCCCCAGAAGCCCGTAAAGAAAGCCAAGCTTCTTCCCCTCCTTCTGGCGAATTATTTCACCTCGGCTCTAGGCTACAGCGTGCCACAGCATAAGCTAGCGTAACCGTCCGATGTTTATTTGTTGCCTCCAAGCAGCTTACTACCATACAGTACCGTAGCAAGTATACCAGACAGATCCATACTGTTTACTGTATGCGCAAAGTTCACGGCTGCGGGTTCGCTCAATACAGGGGATTCTTACAGAGGGTGCGAAAGCATCTGTTCCAAGGTGTAGCACATGCGCAGCCTTCAGGCGCTCTTCCCCGCAATGTTCATTGTTGCATGGTGCACTGCATAGGTACTACATTGGCGTGCGGCTTCAACTCGAGTTGACACTTGCAAGCGCTTGTCAATCAAAGCCTTCCCGTAAGCCTCTTCCCGCAATGGGTTGACGTCAACGAAGCGATAAGCCTGAGAGCTACGGCAAGCGGCCGATGTCGTGCTTTCCAATGTCATCGTCATAGCTTTCCCAGGTCACGAGCCTGAGTGGCAACACTTACAGCTACTCGGCGCGTTTGCACGCAAGAATCTGAACAAAGTCGTACATGAACGCCATCAAAATACACAGAAGAGCGGGTCACCAACAATGCTTAAAACACGAAGCCCTACCACTAATCTATAGCATTACGGGTCGCCCCAGTCAAATCGTTCCTTAGCTCTAGACTCTAGATCCCTGGAGCGAACCGGTGTAGCCCCACAGGCCGTGCCAAAGCTGGCCCGAGGGCATCCCGGGCTGGAGCTTGAAGAGGCGCAACTCGCCGGGATGGAAGGACCAAGATCCTAAGAGCTCAGGACTAAGGTGACCAAAAGCTCTTAGAAGGCGTGCTAAACCCCAAGCCCTAAGCTCTAAACGCTAATGCCGCCAATGATTGCCAAACACATCTTGCTACAGATCCCGCCAGGACGCCTTTGGGGAATGCAACCAGGAGCTTGCCGTTGTCCTTGAGCCGCTCGACGCGCCCCACGTCGCCTTGCAAGGGCTGAGAGAGAGGTGTAACAAAATGGCGGGTCCGAGCATTTCCCCGGCCGCAAAACATAGCATGCTACACCACCTTGTGACTACGTGCTCTCCGTAGTGTCCCGGTCCATAACTGCATAGCCTAAACTCTAAACCGGGCCTGTCTCCACGTCATCGTCGCTCTTCCTCCAGTTGACGAAGGAGTTCGTCTGTATTTCATAGAAAATCAGCTCCTGAGCCCATTTTGGTCACACTACAAAGTACAGTACAGTGTAGATAGATAGATACACACACAAACAAACAAACATATATATATATATATATACACATACACACACACACACACATATATATATATATATATATACACACATGTACATACACATACACATGCATAGATACAACTATGAATAAAAATACAACTGCAAACATGGGCTGGACTCTTAATATAGACAAATGAAAGACGGAAAAACAAACAACTAAATGATTATATGTATATATGGGAATAACTTTGTTACCATACATATGCCCCTGATTGAAAAATATTGCGTGCTGACTGTTTGCGTTTGTTCTCTCGCACGCAGCCTTTGCTACAAAACCTTATGGAATACTCTGCGATTACCCTATAGAATACATTATAACATACTGTATAGAATATGACCAATATGCCCTCTCCACAGCTCTTAAAATACCATCTGGAATACCCTGTAGAATACCTTATAGGATGCCCTAATGCCTATATATGATAGGGGGTCTTCGAGAAGGTCTTCGCTAGGATATGCCATGGGACCTTCTAAAGGGTAAAGTAGATCTTATTCTGCAAGGTATAGGGTATGGTGTAGGGTTTATATAGGGTATACTGGGGGGATACAACAAGAATGCTTCGTAAAACGCCAGGTATTCGATGGGGATTCTACAAGGTATTTTGTAGAGTATGCCATAAGATATTGTGTAGGTATATACGGGGTATGCAGGGGAATATATTGTGGAATTTCTCCGATATACCCTCTCCATATCCTTTAAAACGCCATCTGGAAAGCCCTATAGCATACCGTATGGGACACCATCATTGGGGGTCTTCCATAAGGTATTCGCTAGGATATTCTATGGGACATTCTACAGGGTAATCTAGATGTTATTCTCTCTTATGTGTATATATATATATATAGCTGTACCTGCAGGATAAGATGTACGGTAAATGCAAAACAGGATGTGCTATAAGACATACCACCTTCAAGAGATGCACCAGCAGAAAAAGCGTCAGGGTGTTCTTCCCCAGCGAAGGTATCGGGCCTACACACACTGCAGTCTGCACTACCCGCATCTCTTGTTGAAGGTACTGCACAACGGGGTGTATAACTACAAAAAGAAGACAAGCTGGAGTGCCCAAGCCTGGATACTTCAGGACCAGGCTCTATCCAGTTCTTACTATCGGAAGCACCAGGCTTGAGACTGTCGTAAACTGCAGGGCCGAGTTTGAATCTCTGCCGGGCCGCTTCAGGTCGAAAGCGCCCCGCATCTTTGGCAAACTGGACCTCGACCTAGAGAGGGGAATGCTGTACATTGTAATGTTTTTTTTACATCGATGTCAAAAAAACAGTACAATGTACAGTAGACATGGTTTGACACAGACTCACCCAGAGATAAACGTCCCTTCGACAGGATGCGCAGCTGGCCATGTGGTCGCGAAGGGGAATAGGGTTCGAGAGTACCATGAAAGACAAACAGATGCTGTTCCAGGGTCGGGACCACGGCGGCGCAATTCGGCGAGAGGATGCGAGGTTGAAAATTCTTGGGTTGTGCCCTCGAGGGCTACAGGGCCTGTGATCCCGGTATGCCCACATCTTGCGGCCTTGCCGTCGTCATCTAAGCTGCCAGTCACCTGCCAAGCTGCAGCTAGCCTTCTAGGGCTTCTGGGGCTTCAAGGGTTGCAGAGACCTTGGTGTACTATTGAATTTTGAATCTTGTCCTTGCGAAGAGTTGAAGCCCGTGAGACCTAGGACCCTAGGAGGTAGCTTAAGGTGACCTGATGGAGGCGCCCTGACGGATGTCTAGATCTTAGGGTTGCATTTCATGGCTTGTCTGCTACAACGGGAAAAAAGAAGCTCTCCAAAAGCATTTTGTGCAACTTGGCCGCCGGACATCCCTTGAGGCCAGGCCCCGAGCTAAGCAGCCCAGCGATGAAGGTTTAGGGTTTAAGGCGTAGGCCCCCCCGCAAGAAAGCGGAAGGCAGGTTCAATAGATCCATGCACCCCATGCCCGCCTTCCCCAGCTCTCCCGTTGCGATGTCATCGTTGGAAGACTTCCACTGCACGAAGGCGCCTGGCTGCACGTGCCCGCGCACCTGAGGCTCAGTCATTTAGGGCGTTTCGGACTTTGGATCCAAGGCCTTTTACGGCTGCGTCACTAAACATAAAGCAATTAGTAGACGTGCTTTTGGACCTTTTGGTTTCTTCGGCTTTTGCGGGGCATTTTGGAGCTGTGAAGCTTCCTAGGGCTGCGAAGAAGATAATCAGCAAAACCAGTCCTTTCAGGCTTTGGGGGTTTTGAATCGAAACCTCACCGAATGAAGGTGCTAACCTCGCGCGTATTGATGCCAGCCGCCTGGCGGAAGCCACTAGGGTTTGCGGCCTACAGACGCTTACAGCTAACAGCAGATCCTTGCATCATGTCCCGTACTCAATCTCAGGCTGCAGGGGCCCTGGTCTCGCCCCAGAAAGCGAATACGGTGCAGAAGATCATGTTGTGGGCCCGAAGGACCATGAAACCCCTAAGCCCTGTAACCTCTGAAAGCTTTCTGCTCCCCAATCTCTTGGCCACCAAAACGTCAGCTCTGGGCTCTAGGCTCTGCCCCTCAGCTTCTGTCCTACCACATATTCCGAGTCTCCCTACTTACAAGACACCTTGCCCCAAAAATTTATGGAACCATTTCGCCAACTCGGCGCCCAAATCTCAAGCCCAAAATTCCCGAAACCATATTCCCGAAAATCCTTAGCCCAAATATCAAGCCCAAAAATCCCGAAACCATATTCCCGTTATTCTTTAGCCCAAAATCCCAAGCCAAAAATCCCAAGCCGTAAATCCCCGTAAAACCATATTCCCAAAATCCCAAGCCTAAACCCAAGAAAAAACACCTTCCCCCATAAATCCCCGTTATTCCTCAGCCCGTAAACCCAAGCCGTAAACCCAAGAATAACAATAAGCCTTATAGTTGGGGCAAGGCGGTTCTAATGAAATTTAATATTATATTATAATAATATTAAACTACATTTTATGAATTCTTTTTATACAGAATTATGAACAATCATCTCACTTAAGAACTCTATGGTTGCTTTTAAATGCACGGAATGTAATTGTTTGTCTATTTCTACACGATATTGTAAATGATATATTATTTCAAGGAAAAACTTATATACTCTTTGACAATAGTTATTATAACCCCATAAATTATCATTAAAATAATCCTTCTTCTCCAGATGCCATTTATAAAAATCAAATTTATCAAGGTTCTCATACATTGTTTTCATTTCACTATGCATCTCAAGTGTATATTCTTCCTTATCTACATAATTTCTTATTATTTTATGAACTTCGTCATATTCTGGGTATTTGTTTAACTTAGTAAAGGGTAATATACAATCATCGAATAAATGCCTTAAATCACAACATTTATCACAACAGTAGTAATTTGCAATCTTGTCTTTAAAACTATGTAAGACATCGCATTTATCTAATATGTTTATTTGTTCATTCTTAACTGGTATGCATACATCACAATTGTTAAAATAATTAAATTTTCGTATCTCACTATAAATAGTATCATCTTCACTCTCACTTTCATATTCGCTTTCATAATCACTCTCGCATTCATACTCGCTCTCACTCATTACTAATATACTAACGTGTCATACCTTTAAGCCGTTTTGAGTAATGATAAATACACGCCGCGATCCAAACCATGATAAATACACGCCGCGATCCAAACCAAGAATAACAATAAGCCTTATACTGGGGCGAGGTGTGTTGTGCATACACCGCTACTGATTTGGTGGTGAATGCCTAATAGAATGATGAAAAGCCACCTGTGCAATGCGAGACACTTTAGTTTTGGATGTGCAAACCCGCATAATGCATGCAGAAAAACGCATTGATTATGCGCAAACACGCATACTGATTATGCGCAAACTCGCATATTTATGCCGAAAGCTGCATAATGCATGCAGAAATCCGCATTGTTTATGCCCAGAACGGCATCGCAAACCAACACACACCACTCTGACGCACAACGCACAGACGCACGGCGTCATGACACACACGACTGTGACTGCACACCACCGTGACACACACGACTGTGACCACACACCACTGTGACCACACACCGCCGTGACAGACACCGCTGTGACACACAAAAAGCTAAATTTTCAGCAATTCGTGTCGTAAATAACCACGCCCATTAATGTAATAATGTTTTTGCCCCAAAACGGTTTTAATATCATCAATGGTATAAGAATTGTCACTCCATGAGCTCTTTCTCTCCTTATCCAATTTATCTTTTTTCTTAAATATTTTGACTTTATCTAAAACCTGTAATTCGGGATATTTTCTTGTTTTAGTTGCATTCATTGCGATATTAGCCTTAACTTTGAGTTCGTTTTCAGGCTTTCGTGCTTCTTTGGGCACTAACCCAGTCGCTGAATGAACCATTTTATTATTATATGTTATCATTATCTCAAATATATAATCAATCCATTGAATATTCTCTTTACCCTTTTTCTCATCCGCTTCAACTCTTTTAAACAACATATCCTTAACTGTCCTGATCACACGCTCAGCGAACGCGGGATGTGTTCGAGTTCTGTGTATCTCCATACCTTGTTCCTCGATGTATTCTTTAATGACATTGCTATTCAAGCTACCTTCGTCATCTGAATAAATAAGTTCGGGTTTTTTCCCATTTTATGTATTCCTTCTATAAGCCCAGCTAATACATCGTCTTGTAGCTTACTCTTAATTGGAACTATTACGAGATATTTACTAAATATGTCTATTACTACCATACCAACATTAAATTTTTGATTCTCCAAATCATTATTTGTAATAAAAAATAAGTCTATTTGATATTCATAATGTGCATAAGGAGCAATAAACGAATTAAATCCCGACATAGGTTTTTTTCTTTCTATGTTCTTTTCAAACCATGCTTTAACATCTGCTAACGTAATACTCTTATCTTTAGCCTTAGCATCTTTAAAAGTTGTGGCTTGTGACCCAAACCCCGCTCTGTCAAAATAGATATCGGATATTATCTTATCTTTATTAGAATTACTCATAATAATAAAGATGAGATTTAAATATTATTTTTGTTCTGATTGTTGTTGTAAGTATGTTTGATGTTTAGTTGTTTTGTAATGTCTTGCAATAGCACTTGTCCAACAACTACCGCCACAATCACAATAAAATATCTCTCTCCGCTTCTCTTTTATGTCTTCCTTGTTTTGCTCGTAATATTCTTTTCGTTGTCGTTGTATTTCTTCTTGGTGACTTATACGATAATTCTTGTTAAGTTCTTTGTAATATTCCTTATGTCTTTGGTAATGCTCTTTTCGTTGCTTGTCGCGATATTCTTTATTCTGTTCATAATACTCTTTTGGCGTTCTCCCTGCGACCTGTTTATTGACGCAATCACTGTTTTGAATATGATACCCCTCTCTTCTCAAAAGCTCTTCTTTGGTCTGACATGGGCAGTTCTCTATCAGCTCAATCTTACAGTTGTCTATGCCGTATTCTTCAAATATGTCTATTGCTTTGGTGTCGATGACGTTTTGTTCTAAGAAGCGTTTATAATACTTTCTATGTCTTTCGAAACGTTTGCTTAACTTTTCGGTTGTGCTACCTATGTAGCATTTGTTATAGCCAACATCAACAATTTTATATATTTTCCCGTTCTCATACCTATTCATACCACTATATACCTAATACAACCATTCTTTTAAACCCTTTTATCTCGCGCAACAATTACACATAACACACATGCTATTAACGTTGCTTATATAATGAGCCTTGTCGTTGTTAAGCCTATTGGCCGATAAATTGGTAGTGAGTTTGTGGTCAACCCTTTCAACTATAAAGGGTTCGTTGCAATCGGTGCATCTGTTTTTTAATTGACTCATAAGCCACTCAACATTTACATAGTCTTCTTCGTTTATTGAACGCCCTGCTTCTATATCTTGTGATTTGTATTGTTTAACCTTTTGGTTAAAATATCGTTCGACTTCATGTTCTTTAATGTCTCGTGCTATCTCATACTTATAGAATTTAACTCTGTTTAAGTCTTTACATCTCGTGACGCTGGTATAAAGCCACTCTTTCGAAACGTAATTATACATCCAATCGTAAATAATAACATCGCCATCTATTGAACATCCCTGTTTACTATGACATGTGTAACACGACGCATAAATAAAATTTTGTCTCAACTTCTTTAGGCTTATTTCTTGTTGTAACCTTGTAGCCTCGTTTAAAAGCGTTACCATATTCTTATTTATTTGCACTATTTTGAACTTGAGATTAACATTAAATTTAGATATCCAGTATCTCGTATAAACACGACAAATAACCTCATCGCCTACGACATATTCTTCGTTTATACCTCTTTCTTTTCTAATATGTTGCGATACTTTTCTACATGTTTCGTTGGTGTATGCTACGTTATTATCAATGAGTTCTATCTCTTCTGTGTATTTAAAATACTTCTCAATAATCTGTTTAATTGTCATATCTGTTTTAAAAATATCGTGATAAATATTTTTTAATTTGATTCTGTCTTCCGCGTTGGTTAATCTCTTGCATTCTTCTAAATAAATGTAATGTTTAAAAATTTGCTTTATACAACTGTCTAAGTATGTCCTATAATCTTGCGTGTTGGTTATATCCACAACGCCCTGTAATTGATGTTCGTCTCCCGTTGCTACAATAATTTTATCGGGATTCTTTTCTACAAATGTTTTTATTCTTGCTAAAACTGGAATACTGTTAAAATAAATTTCGTCAAAAACGATAACATCATAAAAGGAATGGTCAAAATCTTTCAATTTTTCTTCGCCGACTTGGATAGAAAAGAATGTATTAATGGTTACTGCTTCTACTCCGCATTCTTGATTTAAATTGTTAGTCGGCGTTACGAACAATATGTTTTTATCTTGTATCTGCTTTGGTATATGCGACTTGCCCGACCCTGCGAATAAAGCTTTAATTAAAACGTGCTTGTGTTCGAGAACTTTCTCAACCGCTTCTTTGCTATCCCATTCGTCTTTTAACATAATTCTTTCATTAACAACTTCGGGT